CCAAATGAGCTCAACTCACAACTTCTACTGAGGACCCCTGGACCAACCCACTGGCCCTTTGGCCTAGAGAGTTCACCTCTGAAGGACACTACAACTTCAGGGCCCCTTTTTTGCCCCTATCCAGCATGAAGTAACTAGAGCGGTCATTGCCCAATTCCCAATAGCAGTTGGGGTGTCCTGTTTAGAGGGGGGATTGAGAGGTGAAGCCTGCTGGACTTCCTAGGTCGAGTGCAGACTTGGATAACTTTTCTGTCTTACAAGAGGATTGTAAAATGCACCAATCAGTGCTCTGTAAAAACACACCAATCAGTGCTCTGTAGCTAGCAAGAGGATTGTAAAATGCACCAATCAGCACTCTGTAAAATGCAAAATGCACCAATCAGCAGGATCCTAGAAGTAGCGAATCACAGGGAGAACTGAAAAAAGGGCACTCTGATAGGAAAGAAACAGAACATGGGAGGGGCCAATAAGGGAATAAAAGCTGGCCACCCCAGCCAGCAGTGCTCGGGTCCCCTTCCACGCTGTGGAAGCTATGTTCTTTCGCTCTTCAAAATAAACCTTGCTACCGCTCACTCTTTGGGTCTGTGCCATCTGTAAGAGCTGTAACACTCACCACGAAAGTCATAGCTTCATTCTTGAAGTCAGCGAGATCACAAACCCACCAGAAGGAACCAACTCCAGACACACTAACACTTAAAAGACACAATAGGCCGGGCGCAGGGGCTCATGCCTGTAGTCTCAGCAGTTTGGGAGGCTGAGATCAGCACATCACTTGAGGCCAGGAATTCAAAGATCAGCCTGGCCAACATAGCAAAATCCTGTCTCTACTAAAAAGAAAAAAATTAGCCTGGTGTGGTGACACACACCTGTAATCCCAGCTACTTGGCAGCTGAGACATGAGAATTGCTTGAACCTGGGAGGCAGAGGTTGCAGTGAGCTGAGATCGTGCCACTGCACTCCAACCTGGGCAACAGAGTGAGACTCTGTCTCCAAAAAACAAGTGACTGGGCAGCTCACACCTGTAATCTCAGCATTTTGGGAGGTCGAGGCAGGCAGATAACCTGAGGTCGGGAGTTCAAGACCAGCCTGACCAACATAGAGAAACCTCATCTCTACTAAAAATACAAAAATTAGCCAAGCATGGTGGCGCATGCCTGTAATCCCAGGTACTCGGGAGGCTGAGGCAGGAGAATCGCTTGAACCCAGGAGGCAGAGGTTGTGGTGAGCCAAATCGCACCATTGCACTCCAGCCTGGGCAACAAGAACGAAACTCCAAGAAAACACACCACAAGTTTGTTAATTATAATACTTTGAAGTGGAAATTACATTTTAGTGATTTCCACATGAATATATACTGCTTTTGTAAGTAGAATAATCTCAGCATTTTGGTGTGATGGCCCTCAGAATCCCTTAGGGGCTACTGCCCTATTGCCCCCTACTCTCTTCACATATGCCTACATTCAAATACTTAAGTGCCTTCTCTGTGTGCAACTTACTAGGCCCTGAGAATAACAGTGACAGAGAGTCCCTGCTTCTGTGGACCTTGTAATCAAAAAGAAAACAAAGTGTGGGAGTACTATGAGGGTGAAAGCATGGCACCCAAATGGAAATACGTAACAGAACCTAACCTCGCCTTGAGGAAGAGCCGTAGGAGAGGAGCACCAGCACTTTCTCCTGAGGGCTGACTACCGACAGAATAACGCCATGGCTACTATCACTTTACGCTGACTCTACAGTCTAAAAATCAACCAGTGGATGGTGTGTGAACACTGAAAAGAATACCCCTCATTTCATGAAGCCCAGTAGCACTGTGACAACTGTGGAGGTGGTGATCATGTACACTGTATCCCTTTGATAAAGACAGAGTGGAAACAAAGAACTTATCCAAGGACTGGATCTCTAAGTTGGGAAAGGAGATGCAAATTCTATGCCCTGTCTCAGCATGAAGACAGGTTGATGAAAAGGGACCTCAGTACTTCATAAGTAACTTTCACACCTTTGTACAGTACAACTATCATGCGGAATTTATCCCAGTTGATGACCTAAAAGAAGGAATCAAGTCCTTGCTTATCATTCTCAAACAGGTGATAGACAAGATGAAGAATATCAAGAAGAGAAAGAACCACAGTTCAGCCTAAAACCCCACATGTTCACAAAAGAGAAGACTGAAGAAATTACTGAAAACCTTTTATTAATATTTCCTCAAACACCCTCTTGTGCACACTTTTTATTTCCAGTTCCTGCTCCCTAGAAAAACCTGTGGCGCACATATATATACACACACACACACATATATCTTTGTTTTAAACCAGTTCTGTTCATAGATGAAATTCTGAAGTAAAGAGAATCAAATACTTAAAGTATTCATTATCTTGGAAAATGAGGAACTGACATATATAAGCACCCTTGTGTAATCAAGTGCTAATTCTTGGTATGCAAACGAAATAGTACGAGATTCACGCTGGCGCAGTGGCTCACGCCTGTAATCCCAATACTTTGAGAGGCCGAAGTAGGCAGATCACTTGAGGTCAGGAGTTCGAGACCAGCCTGGCCAACATGTATAACCACATCTCTACTAAAAATATAGAAATTAGGCAAGCTTGGTGGTGTGTGACTGTAATCCCAGCTACTCAAGAGGCTGAGACGGGAGAATCACTTGAACCTGGGAGGCAAAGGTTGCAGTGAGCCTAGATCATGCGACTGCACTCCAGCCTGGGCAACAGAGTGACACTCCGTCTCAGGAAAAAAAAAAAAGAAAGAAAAGAAATAGTACAAGATTCATAACGCTTTTAAAAAGTTACTTTAATCAGTCTTTCCATTTCATTCTTCAATTATTGTTTATCTTATTCTGCCCAATAAGAGCACAGATGTAATTAGTACACCCTTCTGCCACACGTCAGCAGAAATTCCCAAAAGCAAAACCCCACTTCCTCTATAACGACCAATTCCTAAAGACAAATTATCTTCTTTCTCTCTTTTGTAAGGGTTTCCCAGAGGTAAACAGCATGCAATGTTTTAATACAGTGCTATGAACATAATTAGACTACGGTCCTAGTTTGCTACTATTTAACTCTGCCAAGTTTCAGTTTTGGTTCCTTGGTATATAAAATGAAAGACTGGAATCTAAAGTTCTCTGAATCACCTTTCATTACTGACACTCAATGAGGCACACTATACACATACAAGTAAAAAAATAAGCATAGAGTTGTGGAAAGAATAGAGTTAAACAGACCTGAGCTAAAACTCCCCCTGACACCTATGGGTTGCCTGGCACTGGACAAATTATTTACTCTTAGACACCTCTTTCCTTATTTACTACCTGTCTATTATGACCAATAAATAAAAGAATATAAATAATTTGTTAAAAGTGCTTAGCATGGTAAGGCCCCAGTCCTCCAGTAAGTGATTCACTCTCACTTACCAGCAAGTTTTCACTCTTGACAGTTCTTTCTTTGGGGGGTTGGGAAGGGATGGGGAGGGACAGAGTTTCACTCTGTTGCCCAGGCTGGAGTGCACTGGCAAGATATCTTGGCTTACTGCAGCCTCCACCTCCCGGGTTCACGCAATTCTCGTGCCTTAGCCTTTCGGACAGTTCTTTCTTAATACTTTTTTTTTTTTGACTATTTATAAATAAACTTCAGTGACTAGATAGGATTTTCAGTTTAACAAATTAGGGGGTGATTTCATTCTAACACATTCAGAACTAATTTATAAACATATATGCAGAATAACAACTTAGAATAACAATTTAGAACTGCCAAATAATGTATTAGGTGCTGCACACTGCTGTAACACTGCCTTAACAGTTTTACATACCTTGTATACCATATAAAACTGAAACAGAACTTCATAAAAAGTGAAAAACATAATCTATTCACAACGTGTATGACTAACAAAAATATTACATACAAAAAGGACCCCTGCCATTTTATTAAGGGTTATAGAATCTTTTGAATCAATGCTTCCCCTTTTTTTTTACCATCTTTGCAGGTCAGAGTTCCAATAACTGCTAAACAAAATTAATAGAAAGCAAATTCCAAGAGACTTTCAGTAAAGTAAGACTGAATACCCCAAAATCATTCAGCATATTTACAATATGTAAATTATCACAAAGCAAAACCTTTATAGAAATCATGAAATACAGCCCAACAGAGTAAAAAGCCTTAGGATAGAAAGTAGTGAAAGACTCATTAACAGTAGTATTCGTTGACACACGGCTTCAATTGCAACTGTAACAACTGCGTGACTCTGATCTGTTGGTCAACTGTGGCACGTGTTCCCAGTCAGGGATTCTGCTAATTGAAAGTTAGAATCATTAAGACATTTAAAGATTGTGCAGGAACAGCATTATTCGTACTTGGTACTAGAAAGCGGTAAAACTATTCTGACTTGGTTAAATTTAAAAATCTCTTTCAGTTTTAATACACAAGAACTTCACTGTTAGGCCGTGCCCGGTGGCTCACGCCTGTAATCCCAGCACTTTGGGAGGCCAAGGCGGGAGGATCCATTGGGCCCAGGAGCTCGAGGTTCCAGTGAGCCGTGATCGCCTCACTGCACTCCAGACTGGGCGACAGAGCGAAACCATACCTCATTCGTTCATTCATTCATTCATTCATAATTAATAAAATAAGTACAACGCACTTCTACATCATAATCTAAGCGTATGGAAATCCACGGTATAAACTGGTCCTTCCTCCACATGGAAATTAACTTTAGCTATATTATCTCCCCCACCTAAGAGTCAGTGCCTGAAAGCCCTCTCCCGAAAATTAGTTTGATATAGCTTTTTACTGTGTGACTTAGGTGAAAAGATTCTTTCCTTAAATATGAAAAGAAAAACCATGCAGTAATGACACAAAAAGAATGTGTTCACTGTAAAGTCAAGATTACGAAAGGTTCCCGTAGCTCAGAGGTTTTTTTAGGAGCAATCTGGGGCTACGACTTTTCCCATCACCGCCAGCTGGACCGACAGACGAGGCTGGAAAGGGTGATCAACATACCTGGAGGAAGCTGCAAATTAGCAGGAAACTGGATCGTGGTGTTGGGGGCTTTCACGGCGACTATCTGAGGAGCAGGCAGCCTAGGGCCGCTGCTGAGTTTAGGAGGGGCGCTGACCGGAGCCACTTTGGTCACCAGGGTCCCCACGGGGGACCGCAGGGGCTGGGACGCCGTGGGCTCCACGCAGACGCCGACAGGAGCCTTAGTCACGGCGCCCAGGGCCACAGGAGTGCTCTCCACCCGCACCGGCAGCGCCCCGGCCGGGGCCATGGTCACGGTCCCCGAGGCGCTCACAGCAGCCGGGGAAGCGGCGCCGGCGGGTTCGGTGAGGCCGGCGGGCATCCCCCAGGGGCTCAGCAGCAGCTGCGGCGCTGCGGTTCCAGGAGCAGAGGTGAGGGGAGGCTTGGCGCGTGGCAGCCGACTCCGGTGCGGTTCGGGCTCCACAGCATCGCTGGGGAGAGGCGCGGGGGCCGCAGCAGCGAAACCAGTGACGGGCGCCGGCTGCCCGGCAGGACACGCGCGTCCCGGACCTTCCTCCCGTCCGCGCGAGCCTGGGGTGCCCCCGGAGCGACACCCGCCCGACCTCTCGCAGCTTCCTCAGCGGCGCTCACACGTGCGCTGCCTCAGCCCGGCGCCTCACGCTCGGTCCCGCTGCTGCGGAGCCTGGACGTGCGGCTCCCGGAAGGTCGTAGCTCGCACCTCCAGCCTAACTCTGCGCAGCTGCTCCCCCGCCAGAAATTTCAAAACTACGAACACAGAGCGCCCATAGCCCCCTACGCGCGTTTGGCACGGCCCCTCCGCGCGGCCACGCCAGCCATGTTTATATAGCCACGCGGAGACCTCGCGCACGCGCCCAGGCCGCCGCCGCCGCCCCGGGTTTCCCCGGGATCCAGCCGCGTGATTGGTCGAGGAGCGGAGCCGCGCCCGTGACGTCACTGGGGACGGCTCCACGGAGCGTTAGAATTTTCCCCTGAATCCCCAGCAAGGAGGGGCGATACCAGAAACCTATCACGTGGGAGGGGCAAGCCGCACTTGGAAAACTGCGGCATCCGTGTTTTTCTGTGTCCCCCGTTGTTTGTTCCTCGAAAAGCCAGGACTAGACTATCTCCAGGATTCTATTTTTTAAGGAGAAAATGGGGAGGACTGATTTCCGAGAAGAGTGACTCAATAAGAATTCAATCACGCATTTTCACTGGTTTTCTCTGGTGTCTTCACACTGAAGCGTTACTGAAGCGTTGCTAAAATTAGTAATTAGAATTGACGTTGTAAAAATTAAAATGGTGTATAGTTTTATAGTGTGTGAGATGTGCCTATTTTCACATTTTAGAGTTAAACTGCCTAAAATCTTAAATGGAAAATCTTTTCTTCTCTGGTGCTGCTGTAGATGTCTCTGTCACCTCTAAACATTAAAATTGTGTGTCTGTCTTTAAAACTTAATGCTTTTTGATACCTATATAATTAGATTCTAGCACTTAGATATTAAGTGCGATCCTAGACATCTGGATAAATAAAAGGTGTTGACTGAATCGATATGAAAAAACTTGCTTCTTTGTAATGCAGTCAGAGAAGATGCCTTAATTTCAAGCTAAAGTCATAATATTGTATGTTTGTACGAACCAACACTGCACTGAAAGGAGACTTTACAAGTAGGCAGATGCTATGATCTGAATGTTGTTGTGTTTTTTTGTTTTGTTTTGTTTTGGAAACAGGATCTAACTCTGTCACCCAGGCTGGAGTGCAGTGGCACCATTGGCTGATTGCAGCCTCCACCTCCTGGGCTCAAGTGATCCTCCTATTCTCCTACCTCAGACTCCCGAGTAGCTGGAACTACAGGGGAGCGCCACTGTGCCTAGCAAAAACGGGGTCTCCTTATGTTGTTCAGGCTGGTCTCCAATTCCTGAACTCCTGCCTGGGCCTCCCAAAGTGTTGGGATTATACCCTCAACTGACTGTTAAAATGCTAAAGCTGAAGTTGATAGTATTAGAGGGTGGGGCCTTTAAAAGTGGTTAGATCATAAGGGCGGAGCCCTCATGAATGGGATTCCATTCAGGACAAATCATGTTAAAGTGATGAATATGTTAGTTTGATTTAATTATTTCATGACACATGAAAACATCACATGATACCTCATAAATACATACAATTATTATTTGTCAGTTAAATACATTAAATAAATAATTTTTTTTTTTGAAGAAACCTCAGAAAGATCCCTTACCCCTTCCAGCATGTGAGGTTTTAGCAAAGAGACTGCTGTCTAGGAAGTAAGACTCTCAGATACCACATCTGCCTTGATCTTGAACTTCCCAAACTCTGGAATTATGGGACATAAACTTCTCTTTTTATAAGCTACCCAGTTTATGATATTTCATTATAGAAGCCCAAGTGAACTAAAATAGCAGGCAACCTGACAGTTACAGCTCCTGCTTTTCTACCTCTCTGTAAACGTGTGCCGGCACGTTTAGACAAGATCTACTCACAAGATCTAGTAAAGTCCACACACTTACCACCTGTACTGTCTTTCACTTCTTGACGAGTCTAAATCCATCTCATGACCCAAATCAATCACACTCCCTCCCTTTCTATGGTGAATTCCCTGATCACTTACCTTCTAGCAGATGCCTCAAAGTGGAGTTGGGGAGAGAAAAACTCAATTTATTGAGCACCTCCTGTGAAAGATGCATTTCCTTTTTCTAACTGCTTCATTTTACAAACTTAAAAACTGCAGTTAAAAGAGTAATATTTCCAAGAAGCTGGAATTCAAACTCGTCAGTATGATGCCAAAGTACATCTCTTTCCATTACTCCAAAAACGTCTGATTAATCATGTATCCCACAGTGCCCTTGGCAAAATGCCCTGAGCATAAAAGGCATTTAATAAATATTTGCTAAGGTAATGAATTGAATGAAGTTATGCAACATTTTCAGTGAAGCAAAATAGTGTAGTGTATTTGAATCTTAGATATGTTCTTCATTAAATGGGCAAATTATCCCTGATTTCTTTTCCCCTCCATATAGTATGTTTCAATAGTTACTTGGGTACGGAAGGATCAAAGTTTGTTTCGAGGACTCTCCCTTTCTAAATTTCCACTAGACCCCCACCGTCAACTCACATACTTTGTGTAGATAGGTAATTAACCTCCACCATCAAATTACAAAGAGACTTGGTTGGGGAACTCTATGTTTTCGTAAAGTTAACCTTATGCATTTCTCTCTCTCCCTCTCTCTCTCTCTCTCTCTCTGGCGTGTGTGAGTACGTGTGTGTGTGAGTACGTGTGTGTGTGTGTGTTTCGGCAGGGCAGGGCGGGCTGGGTGTGGGGTTGTGCAAGGGAGAACAGGGTATCCCTGTCTCTGTCACCCAGGGTAGTTCAGTGAGGGCATCATGGCTCACTTGCAGCTTCAACCTCCTGGGCTCAAGAAATCCTTTCACCTCAGCCTCCCAAGTGGCTGGGGACCACAGGCCACCATGCCTAGCTAATTTTGCTTGTTTGTTTGTTTGTTTGTTTTGCAAAGACAAGGGTCTAACTATTAGGTTGGTGCAAAAGTGATTTTGGCAACATGTTACCAAGGCTGATTTCAAATTCTTGGACTCAAGTGATCCTCCTGCCTCAGCCTCCCAAAGTGCTGGGATTACAGGCGTGAGCCTCGCATTTTTCTTATAATTGTTTATAATATGCAAATTCCTGATGTGGTGGTTCCTGCCTCTAATCCTAGCATTTTGAGAGGTCTCAAGCAGGAGGATTGCTTGAAGCCAGGAGTTCAAGACCAGCCTGGCCAACATGGTGAAACCCCGTCTCTATCAAAAATACAAAAATTAGCTGGGTGTGGTGGTGCATGCTTGTAATCCCAGCTACTTGGGAGGCTGAGGTAGGAGAATCGCTTGAACCTGGAAGACGGAGGTTGCAGTGAGCTGAGATCGCACTGCTGCACTCTAGCCTGGGTGATAGAGCAAGACTCCATCTCAAAAGAAAAAAAAAAGATAAGAAAAAGAAAAAAACAATTATTAACCAATAAACAGATACTCATACAAAATTAGATTACACACAAAACTATTAATGGAAGATATTTCTATTTAGAGACATTCTAAGTGATAATTTTTGTCTCTCTGCATTTTTAAATTTTCCTACAGTAAATGTGTCATATTTGCATAATCAAAAATTAAGACAAACTTTTTCTTAAAATGTATATTCTTAGTGAGAATTGAAATCTGTAAGCACAGCTAAATACTCTCCAGTCTCCTGCACAGCTAAATACTCTCCAGTCTCCTCAACATAGCATCCAGTACCTTTAATGGATCTCATGAACCTGGACAAGTATGGTAGCTTGCTGAAGCTAGGCCAAGCAGAAGCTTATTACAAATACTGTCTTAACCTAAGAAGACAGGCTATTTTCTCAGTGTGTAATCATTTCTTTTCACTTCGCATTAAGTGTGGAAAAAGTAATAAGACTGTTCAAGAGCCAAAAATCCCCAAAATAATATTTATTTTGTAAAAGATTCTGCAAACACTGAACTTTATACTTTGTATTATAACACAAATTTTCTTGAATTATATTATTTTCAAAAGCCTCTCCTCTCTACCTACCTTCAGTCATTCATCTATGTAACATTTATTGAGTGCTTACTATAAGCTTGGCAATAAAGAATACATCAGTCAGGCTGGGCACAGTGACTCATGCCTGTAATACCAACACTTTGGGAGGCCGAGGTGGGTGGGTCACTTGAAGCCAGGAGTTTAAGAAGAGCCTGTGCAACATGGCGAAACCCCATCTTTACAAAAAATACAAAAATTAGCCTGATGTGGTGGCATGTGCCTGTAGTTCCAGCTACTTGGGAGGCAGAGGCACAGGAATCCCTTAAACCCAGGAGGCAGAGGTTTCAGTGAGCCAAGATCGCGCCACTGCACTCCAGCCTGTAACAGAGTAAGACTCTGTCTCAAAAAAAAACAAAAAAGTTAACTTTAGAGAAGAGAGTGATCAACTGTATCAAATGCAGCAGATAGGCCAAATAAAATGAGGACTAGGGAGTGCCTGTTCAATAGAGCAACACGATGTGAGCGTCACTGGTAGCCTTGACAAGAGTAGTCCTGTGGAATGTGGGCATGAAAGCCTATTTAGGGCACGATCATGAAAGAATGGATGGAAATGTAAAGTTATAATGCAAAGTAAGGGAGAAAAAAATGGGGCCATGGGAGAAGAGATGAGGTCAAGAAAGAGATTTTCTTTGCAATAACTACATGTTTGTATGCTGATGGCAGTGTTCCAGTAGGGAGGGAAAACTGCTGATAGAGGAATAAAGAGGAATATTTGAATTGTTGGAACCATGTCCTTGAAGGCAAAAAAAGGGATAAAATCTAGTGCACAAATGTGCATCTGTAGTCCCAGCTCCTTGGGAAGCTGAGGTAGAGGATCACTTGAGGACTTTGAGGTTGTAGTGCACTATAATCCTGCCTGTAATGAGCAACTGCACTGTAGCTGGTGCAACATAGTGAGACCCCCATCTCTAAAAAAATTTTTTTTTAATCTAGGTGCACAAGTGGAGGGGTTGAGCTTCGATAAGAGCCATAGACCATTCATCTACGGCAAGAGAAGGGAAGGCAGAGTTCTTGGCCATAGACACTGGTAGATGGATATTTGTGGTGGTGGGAACTTGTGTAAATTCCTTTCTGATCATTCTCCCTTCCTCCAAACCAATCTATGTCTCCCACTGTTTCTAGGACAATCTTCCTAAAATGCAAATCTAATTTTACAACTCTCCTACATACCACTTCTTAACATCCACCTGTTACCCACAGGATAAAATCTCAAGTAGCATGGCATACAATGTTCACTATGATCTGGCACCTATTAAATTGTCCAATCA